ACATAGCCATTTTGATCCACTAAACTCTCAAGCCTCATTCTACATAACTACAGGCAGGGGGTGGTTGGGTTTTTTTTGTCCTTGTCCCCTTCTAGCTCTAAATTAAGCCAGATCCAATCTTCAGTGATTCCCTTCAACAGATGCGAGGATGCTGATGGAGCAGGATAGCAGACACCCCATTCTTGTCCGCAGCGCAAACAGAAAGAGGATTGCTTGGCAGCTGAGAGAAGCCTGCACTTTACACCCACTCACCAGGCAGCTCGCCAGCTTCGCTCGGGGATGGAATTAAACCAGGATTTAACCAGGCAGGCAGCCTGACCTCCGGAGTGTGAACTCCCAGACACAGAGAGCCTCCTTAGTCATTCCAAGTGTCACAGTGGTGCTCCCGAGACGGGGCACCCGAACAGCAGTGCCCGGGGAGCAGAAGATTCTGCATTAGGTGGCACGAGAGGTGGCGAGGCAAGGAGGTGACACTGCAGCAACACTGATTCATCCGGCATCACGCTCATCAGCACAGTGCTGCAGCAGAAGCGAGCAGTGCTGGAGGGCACACCAGAGGACACTGCTGTACACGGAGATCTGGAGGTCCCAGGGGACAGCAGGAGGCACGTACACAACATGTGGATTAGCAGCTAAAGGCTCCGTGTCAGAAAAGGGTGATGGTGCAGAGTGCACAACAGAACATCACAGCCCAACAGCCATAGCCCTATTGATCACAAGGACTTTCCATGCAGCAACAACAGAACAAGGCTGTTGTTACCTGGCTCTCCAGACCAGCCCAGGGTGACTGGTCATTAAACTGAGAAGTATTTGTTCTGCCACCCATGCCTTAATCCATGTGCACAAGAAAAACTGCACTGCAAGGACTCCCTGTTCCTTGTCTCTAGGAGCTCCAGGCAATACAGTCACCCCAGCAGAAGTATTGCTGGTGAGTCTGTACTGCACGAGTTAAGCATTACTGTCAGCTCATCCTGAGCTGATGAGTACAATAAGCCAACTTGACAAAAAATTATGGAAAGCAGATCCTCAGGTAAGATAGGCTGAACCAGAAACTTAGCAGCACAGTGCCCTGCGTGTTTCTACAACCAGTCCATCCTACCCATGCAAAAATTGGGGGAAAAAGCCCCCAGTAAACAAGCCCCCAAAACACCTGATACCCAGACAAGCACAGTTACAGCTCAGATCACAGCACACGAGGAGAAAACATGCCAGCAAAATAATCCTTATTCCTGTTTCATGTAGGAAAATGCTTTCCAATATCCAAAGTGTGATTTATGTCCAGGAACAGCAGATTTTCTGCTCTAGCACCAACACAGCCACACGTGAGAGCTTTGGTTGTCACATCCTCAACCAACCCTCCCTGGGCAGCGGGCACAGCACAGGGAAGAAAACATACCCAGAACCTCCCATTGCTCCAACAATCTCAGTTACATTCATTTAAGAACCTACTTCTTTCTAGTGCTGGAAGAAGCTGTTTAGTGCACAGTGCTCCCAGGATCTGACAAGTTCAAGAGTTACCTTCCTACCACTGGATCCTCTTAGCTAATCAAGTGGCCTCTGATCACAGATTCAATGTCCTGAGTCACAAAAGAACCCAAAGCAAGTCCCATACACCAGACCACAGGCTGCTAAGTTTTCAATGTCAACATGTGTGAAGAGCTGAGCTGATGCTCAGGGTTTCAGAAATCAGTTTTCCAAGAAACCTGATTTTCAGACCAAGTACTCATCCAGCAGAAACCATCACTTGTATCCTTGTTGTCATTAATCTCCACCTTAAGGAACATGAATTATTTATCTGTCTCCAGAGTAGACTTCTGGCATCCAGATGTCCCCCTAGACCGCTGCACTCCCCTTGACTGCTGCAGTCTGGAGACCCCAAACCAGCTGAGGAGTCAGGGGTTGTTCAGTAGCAACTAATGTACCCTACATATTGTGGAATAGAGTTTTTACTTTATGCCAAACATCTCCTGTGCCTAGGAAATATCAATACCACAACTCCATACAGGTACTAAACAGATAGTACTCCTAAAAATGCAATACAGTATGATTTATCCCTTTTCTGAGCAGGGGCTCTAGCATTAGGCTCCTAGACTACTCACAGTACCTCTCATTAATACTTGAGCACATAATAATGGGAATATGCATATTTCATTTTGTGAGCCATTCTCATGTAATGATGCTGCTCTTTTAGGGCTCCAGTGAGGGGATCTATAAAAGTCCAGACACTGCACTTTTACTCATTAAACATTCACCAGTATCATTTATTTCTAGGAAGCTTCTTTTGTCATTATTTATGAACAAATATCAGAAAGATCTACGAAATGAGAAGGAACACAGCAGTTTTCCTGGATTTGAAGGATAAAATAAGTGTGCCAGGGCAAGAGCTGCTGTCAGTATTAAATATCAGCACTGCAAGTGTCTGTCTGGGGCAAGTCCAGCATTACACCAAAAATCTTGAGTAGTCTAAGGCCTGGTTAGCATTAGCTTTTAGCCAGGAAAATGTAAACGAAAGCATCATCGGGTGTAATCACTTGCTTACAGCCTCTGTGGTTTTGG